ACGAGAGAGAAATAATGGCCACAAATTAGTTGCTTTACAAGGAAAGCAACAAAGTTTTTGGGACAATAAAAAAGGGAAAGTTGGCAAAGTTCTGTGGGATGGAGGTAGTAATACATAGAGTTTTTCTTTGGGTCCTACTAGTGTTTACTCTGTATTTTACAGAATGGACCTGATGAAAGAAGTATTCCAGGGAACACAATTGCTGTTCAAGCAGATATGCCATTCAGTGGTCTGACAACTTTTGGAACAGCATTTTTGTCAAAATTCGAATGTTCTCAAATGCCTCATCCTGTGAGTTCTGCCCATTTCTCTCTTGCCCCAAAATGCTTTGACATTTTCTCCTTGGATATTCAAATAAATTTCTTTTTCCCTGTGTGTTTTTTGAATGCTAAAAAAGCTATTGGAACACATTACATTCGTTGATACTCCTGGAGTTCTATCTGGAGAAAAGCAACGAACACAAAGAAGCTATGACTTTACTGGAGTAACATCATGGTTTGCTGCCAAATGTGATCTCATCCTGTTGTTATTTGATCCTCACAAACTTGATATAAGTGATGAGTTCAAACGTGTGATTTCATCTCTCCGAGGTCATGATGATAAGATAAGGGTTGTTCTGAACAAAGCTGATCAAGTTGATACTCAACAAGTGAGGCCTCTTTCTTTAACTACAGATTTTGGTAGTATAAAAATCCGAGGTCATCTTTCTTTACTGTGTTCTATAAAAATTTGGAATTTAATTTGAATGGCCTTGAATTGCAGCTTATGCGGGTTTATGGGGCTCTGATGTGGTCCTTGGGAAAAGTCCTTAATACTCCTGAGGTTATGCGTGTTTACATTGGGTATTGCTGGCTGTGAACTTTTTGCTTTTCTTGCATAAATAATTGATTTAGACTTGGGTAAAACATCCATGCATTTATTTGAAATGGAGGGAGGTTGATTTGTTATTTAAGTTATAAGTATGTGTCTCTTGAAGGTCATTCAATGACAAGCCCATAAATGAGGCTGTTACTGGTCCACTCGGGAAAGAACTTTTTGAAAAGGAACAGGATGACTTGCTGAGTGACTTGAGAGACATACCAAAGAAAGCTTGTGATCGACGTGTAAGTCTAACCTTTTTTTTTGTACCCTTTCCGAGTTGTATAGCGAAGTAAAAAAAACATTGGCGATTGTCGTGTGTGCAGATAAATGAATTTGTAAAGCGTGCTAGAGCTGCCAAGATCCATGCCTATATTATTAGTCACTTAAAGAAAGAGATGCCTGCGATGATGGGCAAAGCCAAGGCTCAACAGCGACTTATTGACAACTTGGCCGAAGAATTTGGCAAGGTGGTCTAAATATATATGAATACATGTTGCCTTACTCATTTTATACTTTCATGTTTGAAACATGAGTTATAACTTACAAATAATAAATGGCTTGTAAAACAGGTTCAAAGAGAGCAACATCTGCCTGCTGGGGATTTCCCAAATGTTGAACACTTCAAGGAAATTCTGAGTGGGTACAACATTGATAAGTTTGAAAAGTTGAAACCCAGATTGGTTCAAGCTGTAGATGATATGCTTGGATACGACATCCCCGAACTTCTCAAAAGTTTCAGGAATCCTTATGACTAGCAACACCCGCTAGTTGTTTTTGTCCATGTAGTTGTAGTTGTAGTTGTAGTAGTAGCACATTGGCTTTATACTACCATTATAGTTTTGATTGAATTTCAGTGATGTAATACAAGTGTATGTTAAGATCTCATTCACTGACATCAAAAATCTTTGTTTTCTACGGGGTTGGATTCCCTCACCCTTGTGCTAAGATCATTCATTAACATCAAAAGTCTTTGGTTCATGATTGGGTTGAATCCCCCCCCCCCCCCCATTTCTGAAACCACTCATAACTAACATCCCTCCTTTTCTTGCCCCAAGGCATGTGGATAATAGGTAAATCAAACTATCAAAGCCCCAGGGCATGTGGAACACTTGGCTATGTTCCAGTTCTGTCGCTGCCTGTGTAGGGAGTGGTGGTTGTGGTTTGTTTGGTAATTGGTACCAATGGGGTCTGATGAGGGGTTGTTCAGTAGGGAGTGGTAATTTCTCAAGGAGCAAAACCGTTAGCTGATAGGCATGAACCAGTTCCGGGCAGGGCCGGTCCAAACTGGGCTTTTGTATTGGGGGTTAAGGCCCGGAACTGGCCCAGGATTCTACCGGGACAGGGTAGCGTTTTTTTTCTTTTCTAATTAATTCCTACCCACCAAACCCCTCCAAAACACCCAGCCCAACCCGCCTACCACCTAAAGACTTTGGGGAAAAAAAATTGGCCCGGACCGGCCAGGCCGGTTCCAAAGAAACCTGCAGCGGTGCAGCCCGAGGCTGCCCCCAAAACACTCCCGATTCGGGTCCTAGGCCCGGGCCCGGGGCCGGGCAACTGGTCCAGTCCCACACAGTGGCAGGCCGAGCAGACCGGAACCATTCCATCCCTATTAGCTGATAAAAATTTGACAAACAAATAAAGGCTGGTAATACAATTTGCAAAAATGAAAAGGCGGTTAGAAAATGTAGATTAGACAAACAGCAACGCCACTACACAAAGCATATCAATTTGAGCTTATATTTACATCTCAATAGTTTAAGGCCAACTTGATGCTTAATTACATTGGAGGGTTTAGTGAAGATTTAGTGAGGCACCAAACAGGAAATGATACATAGTTGGTAAGCATATGCTTCCATTTAGTTTTCCTACATAGCGGGGAGAGGATCAGCCATTCAAACTAGTCTAGACAGTTAAACCAAAAGACCCACGTGCTCTCAAATTCCATCAGTTAGAGCTTTTCACAAGTGAGGCTAATTCCAACTTGTTTTTATTTGGATGTAACTCGCCTTTGCCCGAGTCCTGCATAACAATGCAAATTGAGATGGCTTACTACTTTAGCCTTGTAGAGTTGCACTCAGAACATTAAAGTGCAGCAGGATATCATTTGGCTTTGTCATGTTTAAGGTGGAATAGCGGAGGATGAAATAGATGGGAACAAAACAACAGAAATGGAATTTTTGTCCTTTGGTAAAAAGAGAAATGTGTAGGAGAGAAATGAAGAAGGTAAGTCACACTTTTTAGTTTCTCTCCGTGCAGAGAAATGCACATGTTCTCATTTCTCAACCACTTCTCTCCTACTACCAACAAAATTCACTCTATATCTCCCCCTTCCCCATCTCTTTGTCGATCACCCATGTCTTTCCTCCCTATTCCTTTCCCTAAACCAAACAAAGGCTAACCAACAGAGCTTATCACGAATGTGACGAAAGACTAAAAATACTTGATTCATTCAGCTGTCAACATGGAATTAAGTATTTATTGATAATAAATAAACTGGATCTCATTCTTTGAGAAAGAGAAACAAGTAGTAACACATTACCTGAAAATCCTCATTGAAGATGTCATTGATGTTATGTTTCTTCAAGATAGGGCCGCCAGTTCCAATTGTTGCAGTAGAGTCAGGTTTGCCCTTATTTCTTGTGTCAGCTTCTTCGTTCTCAACCTTCTTCAGAGCTTCCCTTTTCTTTTCTTCGAGGTCTACAATCTTGAAATTACATGAGAAAGAGTTTTAGCTATTTCTTACTGAAAAAGAAGAAAGAAAAGTATGCCATATTCTTAAATTGCATTTAGGGAGAGGGAAACAGAAACTGCAGGCTAGCACACTGCACCTCCCGCCCAATCCAGTCTTCTAAAATGAAAATGCACAATCTCAGAATCTTTGAGAAGCACATTTTCATTTTTTTTCCAGAAGTGAAACTCAATATAGTGAATGCTAGAATACCAAGTGATTAGGAGGAATTCAGATGCTATTATTTAGTTCAAATTAATTACAAAAAAAGTAGCCTAAAAATACTGTGCATGGGTACTCCCCATTTGTCCAGTAATACAAACAACAGCATCCAAGCCTTAGTCTCAAAAGATATTGAGGTCGGCTAACATGAATCGATACATGATATCACCACCAAAAGGAAAAGAAAGAAAATAAAGATAAAAAAGATAAGCTATTATAAAACATTTGTCCAGTAATGTTCTTCCCTTTTTTTATACTTTTGATTAGGGAGTGAAATTGTGAGTAGGAGATTTATTTATCAAGAATAAAAGAAACTATATAAACCACACATTTCTTTGTTCCTTTACGAGTAAATGAAAAGAACTCTTTTGACAGCGCAAAAAGGAAATGTGAAAGCCAGCATCTTCTGCAATCACACATTAGTTGCTGGTAATTCCCAAGGCTAACCACCCACCAATCCTGAACAGTGTGACCAGGGGTGAAGCTTTATTCGTGATCTTAATATCCTATCATGACTCCATAGGAACATTCTTATAAATTATAATCCAAACTATCCTTCAAAGAATTTTGAAAATATAGATTGAGAAGTCATAATACCACAGCTGAGATTGTGGTTTGTTCCAGGGTATTATAAAATTTTGTTTTGTTTGTGTGTTCTTTCAAACCCTTACGTTGGAATATTTCATCAGGCCTCAACTAAAGGCGTGACGAATTCTAAATCACAGCAGGAAGTGGGTTTCAGTAGGCGTGTTTCGCAGGTAAGAGTTTGAGAAACAAAACCCTAACTGAACGTCAAAATACCGAGAGTGAAGAGAAAATACCACTTAAGCTTTTTTCGTTTAACCGGAAAAGGCTTACCGGTGCATATCGGAACTTCCGTTTAGGAGACATTTGAGGCTGAGTAGAGTCGCCGGAGGGAAGAGGAATCCAGCGGCAGAGGAAGAGAGTAGGCCCAGGCGCGTTGTTACCGTTGCGATGGGCAGCTGGCCGAGTGCTGACCCACTGCTTCTTCCACTTTCTGACGGGGCCGCTGAACACCGTCTGCGGTTGAGCAGAACCGTAGCGTGACGAAGTGCGCCCGAATCTCGACCCGGCTCCTTCCATGTCTTGGTGCGGAAAGCTTGGGACCCGCTGTGATCGGATGAGTGCGCTGTGCTGTGGCCTGGAGAGTGTGGAGCGGAAGAGTGAACTAATACGGTGACGTTCGTGTAACGGTAATCGAGAATCTTTTTATTGTATCTCTTGGCGCGCCGTACGGCTTTACCATTTTACGTGTCAGAATGTCAGCGAACAATCTCTATGCTCCAAAATGTTACTCCTACCTATTATGCTCTTCTAATTATTTATAGGCGAATTTCATAAGAATAATCTCTACTTTTAGTAATTTTATAATAATAATCTATATTATAATGTCTATAAAAATAATCTGAATTAACAATAGTGTCCATAAAAATAAATTATGGTGAATTTAAATTAATGCTCATTTAATATTATCAATCCCTACTCTAACTTTTCCCTGCACCGTTCTTCTTATCGAAGTGAATTAAAACTAAAACCTGATTAATTTTAATGTCATTTCCGTCATATGTGGTTTGATGGGATATTAGGGTCCGACCCAATATACCGGCCCAAAATATCCCTAAAGCCCAAGAGCAGGGAAAAGCCCAAGGAGAATCAGCGGGTCCCCGAACGAGAATTTGGTGACTAAGGAAGACACCCGCTCGGCACATCCCGAATGGGGTGTAATCAACACTTGGACAACCAGTTTTCTTCCGGATTAATGGCTAAGCACATCTCAGTACCGATCAGAGTCACGTGCAAGTGACAGACTTCATTTAATGCTGGATTGTGGAGATCCCAAGTGGGAGCATGGGTGCGCAAGTGGTATGGAAAGCAACCAATCATCTTGGATCACCACTTACCCATTTTTAGTATAAATAGCATCATTTATTTCATTAAAAAGGGTTAACATTTGTTTACTCATTAGTTTATATTGCATTCTAACTCTTGTATTAGCTTTTGGACTATAACTGTCGTTCGGCCATTTCTCATATATTGCATCATATATTTCTTGTATTTTACATCTTGACTCTTTTCTTACCACCCTCTCCATCCCCCTTATTTCCTTATGGTTCTTCTCACTTACTCTTCTTCTTTCTTTTTCTTCCATCTTCATCATCTTTATCTCCACTATATTCCATCTTCATCATATTGTGTCATCTTCACCACCACCGTCATCTTTGTCATCTTTCATACGGAGAATTTATCATATCTCATTTTCACCATCTTCATCATTTTCTATCTTCTCAACGCCCCAGTTTTTAAAATTCTTCGGCGATGGAGAGTAGCTTGAAAACCAAAATAAAGATGAACAATCATCGGAATTTTTGTCTATACCATTAAACTAGATTTTTCACCCGTGCGTTGCACGGGTTGCATTTCCCGATTATTAAAATGTTTCAGTGCTTCTATAGTATCCCATAAAGGTGTGATTTGTTCACCATTTTAACTCGCATTCTATTGAGGTACACGCCATCACAAATTATTTCACTTTAAAGAAGAATGGGGGTTTTTATTATCTTGGGTACCACAAATTACATATACTCTGTGTCTTTACTTTGGTGTGTTTCGGAGGAGATGTAGGAGTTGCCACATGTCATTATATAGTAATGGGAGTGAAATTTGGTGAGAATGACACATAACATTTTGTAGGGATAAAACCAAAGCTATTTTCTTTCTTATATATATATAAATAGAAGGAGAGCTCTTTGGTGCATTTATGTTGTAGACTGTTTTGGTGCATTGTATATGTGGCAGCATCACATTGGATAAATATTCCAAGTAATTGGAGATGCATTTTACGTAAGCTATTTTATTACTAAGTAAATGATTTAAAAATTGCATATTGATCCCTGCACAATAGCATTTTCATTGATCCGGAAATCTACTCTTGAGTCACATTCCATTCCCTTTTCTCCTTCCGACCTCCATTGCAACTCTTTTCAACCTCCACTCTTGAAGTTTACAAAGAAACGAAGAAAACATTAAAGTTCTATGCCTCAACACATTTGTTTAACCGGATTGCCCTATTTTTCCTACCAGCCCATTTTCCAAAAAACAACATGTTCTTCCTTCTACAATCGCCGACTTGAGGATTACGATGTTGAAAAAATGCCCTCCTGGATGACCTTTCTAGTCCATGAAATTAGGGCATTTTGTAGCTCCTCTATACACCATTGAAGAGTGTCAAGAATTCAGTGGCACACCAAGTGTACAACCACTCGGCATATATGCAGGTAACACCATAGCTGATTTTAATTGTTTGGTTTTCTCTATTTCATTTCATTTCTTTTTATTTAGCTCGACGGTTAACGGGCTTCGGGAAGTAACTTCAGGATGTGGACACCATTTAGTCTAGATAAATAGAATTGAATTCGTTCTGGTTAATCAATTGAAATTTGCATTGGGTTTTTGCATTCAGATCTCCTGCTAAAATTTAATTAGGTAACAAATGAGTTTTTTCTGAGCATGAACGAGTTAGAGCTTATTGATTGGGTTACTGGGGAAACTTCTTTCAATCCTTCAATGCATTAAATATTCTTGATAAGGTCAAGACTGAATTTGAGTATCTTTTACGTGACTCTTTTTAAATGTAACTATAGCATTACAATTTTTTTTGCTTACAGGTTGCGGACTTCTGGGCGATAGTTGAAGCTATTGTGCTTTATTGGAATGCTAGGTGAAGTTATGATGTCCCTTGAACTTATCATTTCCATGAAGCATAATTTCTAATGTTAGAAGATATTGTATCAATGGAACAATTTGAAAATTTTATCAAACTGACATAGCTGCTACTCATCATACAAAATGTACTTGTATCTGCTTGGGGATATCATGGAAATTATTTAATGGAAGATTTGGAAGATGTATATGTACTCCTCTAGATTTAATGATCATCATCATAATGTTGCTTGCTCCAGCAGTTAGTTTTATTAAGATAGATTGCTTTTATTTTTATCACCTATTCATTTAGTGATTGATCCATATAGAATGTTTCGATGAAAGGATATCCAGTAAATGTGTTTAGGATGCTTTTAATGTGTTGTGTAATACTCCGTAGTATTTATAAAGCAGCAACTTGCGCTCATATAGATTTATATGGTCTTACTGAAGGACTGTTTTATTAAGCTAAGGAGATGTGTGAATATGCAGTGTTTGAACAATTTGTTTCATTATCTGAAATGGATTGTAAATACCATTCTATTGGGTGATAGCATGTTTTTCAATTTTTTTTACCATCTAAACCTCGTAACTCGTAATCTTGTAGACAAGATGAAATTTCACTCTCTATCCTTATGCCTTATTGATTTATCTTTCTCCCTCTATTTTCTCACTTTAATTTCTCATATTGTCACTTTTTATAATGTTATACGATTCATTCTTATTGGTGCATGTATTAAAATATTAAAAGAACTTTGAAGTTTTAGTGGCTTTAGTCCCACACAACTTAAAGAATAAAATAGACCACTTAATCTATCTCTAATTTGCATACTAAAGACACCTGAACCCGCTAATTTGCATACTAGCGGCAGTGTGAAGCGGTTCACCGTTAATGCTGTTATGGGCATAAATCAGGATTTGAAGGCATTGGAAGCTTTTGCTTATGAGAAGTTCCATAGCACTGAGTTGAGCGAAATTTATAGTGAAGGGAGTTTCAGAGGATGCTTGATAGCGGCTAGGCAATTGTTAAACCTTTTGTAGAGCAGTTAACCTGAGAACTTCATGAATGTTGTGATAAGGCAGAAGAACTATAATGCTTTGGACTATAAAAGGGTTGCAACCCTTTGTGACAAGTACCAGGACTATGCTGATGGAATATTTGGAAGTCTTGCAAGACGAAATGCTAAGCAAAGCGCCCTGAAAAAATCCATGGACATGCTAAAGAAAAGACTCCGGGATTTTAACTAAGAAATCAGAATATATGGATTAGAAAGTAGTACCAAAATTTTCTTTTTATTTTGGTTAAAGATAATTAAAATTCTTTTATTTTCTGCTTAATATTTAAATTCTATTCAATTTATTGACCAGATTTTTCATGTAAAAAAAAGACACCTGAACTCAAAGAACTTAACTTCTTGTGTGCTACTTCTCCACATGTGTATCCATAATTATAATATTTTACTTACATTTTGTTTCACTTCTCTACACCAGTGATGGGCCGATGAGATAGCGTCGATAATGAGGACTTCTGCTGGTTGGACACAGCGGTGCAAAACAGGTTTTAATCAGCATGTCCACATTTGCTTCGTTTGCTTTTATCCCTACTCTGGTCATTTAATATTAAAGGGAACCACAATTATGAAATGGAGTCCATAGTTCATTGTATGTATGTATGTATGTATGTATGTATGTATGTATGTATGTATGTATGTATGTATGTATGTATGTATGTATGTATGTATGTATGTATGTATGTATGTATGTATGTATGTATGTATGTATGTATGTATGTATGTATGTATGTGTGTGTGTGTATGTATGTATGTGTGTATGTATGTATGTCTCTACGTGTGTACGTGTGTACGTGTGTACGTGTGTACGTACGTATGTATGTATGTATGTATGTATGTATGTATGTATGCATGTATGTATGCATGCATATTATAACTTTCTATAATCCATTCATTTAAGTTTTATCGTATTTACATTGCAGATGTCTATATTCAAAGATTTGCAAGTACAAGGACACAAAACTCATGGTTTGAAGTTTGAACGACTTTGAAGTGTTTTGAAGATACTTGTATTATCATATCACTTAGTTAAGACATTTACCTCAGCTAATAAAGTAACAAATACTTTTATAGTGCACATTGTTTTTTCCTTCATACTTTTAGATGCTTGTTAGTCGGAAAATATGAGCAGTGATGAAATGTAAATGCATGCCCTTCTCATCTAATCGTAAGCAATCTTATAGAACAATATCTTTTTTATTCCACTTTTGAAAAACAACAAAATAGCCTATGTGGGGATTGAACCCACATATTTATGCATAAGCACATCGCTCTACCATTTGAACTAATAGGCTTACGATGTGATACACATGTTATAATATTGTGAGTGATATTTAACATATATGAGTGTACGACCCAATATATTATAATGTGTTACTACAACCAGTCAAGTTTCAAACAAAGATCAGACATGGTTACATGTCAATATTTTTGTTAAGCTCTTATGTTTGGCATGGGAAAAATGCTAAGCACAGCTTTCACTAAGAAAAGTCTTTATCTTGCTTTTTACTACTAGCATAGTATCACACATAGTATCTACTTTAATCCTTTATGTATTAGCACACATGGTATCTACTAGCACACTAGGATTACGTTTCATTTACATTTGCTCAAGATGTAGACACAACTCTACAATTTCCATGTAGCAATAATTTAGAAAACTATATAGCAAATAGGTGCTCTCGAGGTGAATATATTCTAGCTAAGCTTATGCAGAATACGTCTATAACATCAGCAACAAACATATAAAATCTAAAATCTTCTCAATCAAGAAATTTCACTTTCAGATCAACAAGTTTAATTTGCAGCAAAAAATGAGAATTGTGAGACTTCACAATCTAATCAAGGAAATAGTTATGATGAAAGTCAATAAAATCTATACATACAACAATCAATATGTATGAAGGAAACATAAAGCTTATTTACAAAGTAAGTCAAGTAGATAATTTGTCAAATAGTTCATGTGCAGAAGATATTATCAGTTTATTTGTTCCTCAAATATAAAATAAGACTAACATGTCAATAATTTCTTAAAGTACAAGCACTTGAGATCCCGTAGTGTCTTAAAGAAATACTCCCTCCGTCCCTATATAAAAGTATCCATTCATTTTACACACATCTTAAGAAAGTGGGTTTGGTTGGTACTGTTTGGCACTGTTTGGACACTGTTTGGCACTGTTTGGCACTGTTTGGCACTGTTTTGCACTGTTTTGTTTGCCAAAAAAGGAAAGGGAACTTTTATTTAGGGACGGCCCGAAAAGGAAACAGATGCTTTTATTTAGGGACGGATGGAGTAGCTCCAACACATCTCGTAAGATCAAAAATCCATAATTCCTTAAAAATAGATATATAAAAAATCTCTGACATTAAAAAACTGAAAAGAAATGAAAGCAGAATCCAAAACTAACCACTCAATCTGGTGATCAATTAAAAGATTAAATTGCTACGTTCTAGGAAGATTCTCGAAGAACTAGAAACTATACACAAGAATTCTCAATGAAAGAAAAGAATTCGAACTTTAATGATTTATTAGAGATATGATATCTTGGGAAGAAGAAGATTGCAATCCTCATGCTCGTAACACAATATGATTAGCTATTCAAAGGAAATATGCACAACTACCAGCTAGCTAACAAACTAACTTCCCGCTAACTAACACAACCACCGGGTTGGCTACTTTTAACTACAGCTGGATGTTGCCCAGCTGGCTACTGCCCGACTATCACATGGCTGCTGCCTGATTTGTAACAGAAATTTGTTACTGTTGTGATGAATAAGGAGTTTTTATAATCTAAAAACCATGTTTCTGCCAATCCGCCATACATGTAACTAGAGCTGTCAAACGGGTCAACCCGGCCCAACCCGACCCGACCCGTGACGGGTTATGGTCTATGTGGGTTGGGTCGGGCCAACCCGTTTAATGACGGGCCAGAATTTCTACAACCCTAACCCAACCCACCTAACCCGTGGGTTAAACGGGTTGGCCCGTGGGCCAATATGTAAAAAATATATATAACAAAAAAATTAAAAATAATTACCCGGAAGTATAAATTTATATTAGTAAGTAGTAACAAAGGAAATATAAAAATCAAAATACTAAAAATTCAATACTTGTTAAGTTTAATTAAAAAATATTAAATACGGAGTACTAGTTACACGAGAATTTGAAAACTATAAGAGGGTATGCGACAAAAATACTCATTGTATAAAAATAAAGATCTACATAAACCATTTGATTAATTATTTTTAAATAATGACTACTAATTGTTAAATATTGTATCGAACTTCACATAAAATATATGTTTCACCATTTTTAATTATTTTTAACTCATTGTATCAACATTTTATTTGAATATTTATTATTGAAATAAATATTGTTTTGCCATGGTTGTAATTTTTTATTTGTAATTATAATAATATTGGTAGTAAAAGGATAATATTTAAGATAATAAAATTTAAAACTATATTTTTGTATATTGGCCCGCGGGCCAACCCGCAACCCGGTGAGCCAACCCACTTAAACCCACAACCCGCGTGGGTTGACCCGCGAAACCCGCGAACTAAATGGGTCAGAAATTTTCAACCCTAACCCACCAATAAATGGGTTTAAACGGGTCAGCCCGCGGGTTTCGACCCATTTTGACGGCTCTACATGTAACACCCCCAAGGATCCATACCTGGAACCATACAACATATCTGGGAGCAAGTATTTGGTTCTAAGTCTTGTAACTATACCTTATATAGCTTTATTGATTTATTACCTCTATGTTTATGACTAGCATCAGCAGTTTCATCGTTTTGGTTGTGTCAGATATGCTAGGGCCACATTCGCAGATGATTCCCTGAACGATTGAATGAGTTCATAATATTGTTGAATTTTCTTTTATTGTGTGCATTCAATTGTCATTAAGCTTCCTTTCTTTGCTTCCAAGGTATTGGATTGTATTAGCTACTATATTCAATTGATGTTGGATTGTACATTGTTCCAAACGTAAGTCATATTTTTTACTAATAAATAGCTTCTAAATTTGGATAGTCATGAATCAGACTTTTTTTTGTAAATTTATAAGTTTTATTTGTTGGTTTAACTAAAAAATCACATGTAGTTGTCTCTCTCTCTTTGTTATTTTTAAATTTTACCCACTCTTAAAAAAAATTAGCAACTTTACACACAATATGTGTTTGATTTTGTAGATATATTGAACTATGTAACAGTTGGGATCGAGTGATTTAGCAACTTTACCCACTCTTATCCCCTTATTTAAGAATAAAGGTGATGTACAAGAATGTGCCAACTATCGAGGGATTAAGCTTATGAGTCACACCATGAAACTTTGGGAGCAAGTGATTGAGCAAAGACTTCGAAGAACTGTGAAGATTTCAGAGAATCAATTATGTTTTATGCCTGGTCGCTCAACAACTGAGGCCATTCACCTTCTTCGGCAACTTATGGAGAAGTATAAAGGCGCTCATAAGGATCTGCATTTGGTGTTCATTGACTTAGAAAAGGCATATGATAGGGTACCCTCGAGAAGTTCTTTGGTCGGCCTTAACTAGAAAAGGCATATCACGCAAGTATATCACCATCATCATGGATATGTATGAGGATTGTACTAAAAATGTTCGTACTAGTGTAGGGAGGACTGAATAGTTCCCTATTACTATCGGAGTGCACCAAGGATCAGCTCTGAGCCCTTTCTTATTTTCCATAGTCATGGATGAACTTATGAAGTCAATTTAAGACAATATACCGTGGTGCATGATGTTTGCCGACGATATTGTATTGACTGATGAGACGCAATCAGGTCTTAAAGCAAAGCTGGAAGTATGGCAACAAACATTGGAGAATAAGGGTTTCAAACTAAGTCGGAGCAAAACAGAGTACATGAAGTGCAAGTTTGGTGGAGGTAGAAGCAGTGGTAATAGCGGAATTACTCTAGATGGTAAGGTGATACCAGTCATCGATATGTTCCGTTACTTGGGCTCCATAATTAAGGACGGTGAGTTAGATGGAGATGTATCTCATAGAATCAGAACAGGGTGGATGAAGTGGAAGAGTGCGTCAGGATTTCTATGCGATCGAGGTATGCCGACTAGACTGAAGAGTAAATTTTATAGGACAACAATTAGGCCTCCATTATGATGTGCACTAGTTTATAGTGCATAAATGTATGTTTTTGTATTGATTTTGTGTGGATTTTCTATCGTTATTAATTAGTTTGTAGCATTTGTTTTATTTTGTCTGTAAGTGTTTTTAGCTTTTATTTGTAAGTTAGGAAGTATTGATAGAGATGTTGGCAAGGAAAAGGAAGAAAAAACAAGAAGAATGCTGCCCAGGAATATATACCCGGTCGGGTAGAAACCTTCACCCGGTCGGGTTTGAGTTAACATATGCAATCTCCAGGAAACTGCTTAGCTCGGTCGGGCCCTATACCTCACCCGGTTGGTTGAGACTTGACCGAGGACATCCAGACGTGCTGAAGAACATCAGGACATGGAAAATATTTGATTTTGACCGGGCTCGGTTGGGTGGATACTCTACCCGGTCGGGTACCCGGCCAAAGGTGTTGAAAAACACCTTTAAATAACCCCATTTTCCTTCACTTTTAATCATCCCTTTTTCCATACTCTTAAGCTCAGTTTAGAATAGCATTTCTTTATATTTTTCTAGCTATGTTTAGTCTCCAAATGAGGTGCTAAACTTCCAATTCTTGGTGTTACTCTTGAAGCTTGTTGATTATTAAAGTTGTGAGTTATTTTCTTAACCTCTTCCCTTGAATTTTAATTATTAGTTCTTTCCTTAATACTATCTCTATATTAATGTTGGAGAGTGTTGCTAAGATGACAATTAGTTAACATCTTGACATTAGTTAGAGTAGTATTTTCTTCCTCTATATTAATGTTGGGGAGTGTTGCTAAGATTACAATTAGTTAACATCTTGATATTAATTATAGTAGGATCCATCTCCTTTAATAATATTCTTCCTTGAATATTAATTAATTTATATTCATATTTCATATTAATATTTTGAACATTACTTAAAGGATCAACTAGTTTTGTTTCATATATTAATTATTACTAGAAATGATCGACGAACAGATGGTTAATCGTTGATGGTTTCACAAGTAAGTAACTTCGGTTTATTAATGCACGGTCGTGGTTGATAAACTTAAGAGGGATTAATTTTGTTGGTTAAACCGAAACCGTTGTGTTGAGG